CAGTAACCTTGAATTCTTAACTAGTAGTTTCTCCTCCTCCTTTGGCATTCTGTTTTTGCGTTATTAAGTGTTCTTGTTTTTATAATTATCATCTGACTTAGGCCTTTGGTATCTTGTTCCAACTTACACAGTACTGGACTTGTACTTCTCATATTTTACTTGTTTAACATGCATATCCTGAAGCAAGGGGAATAAATTCTTTGACAAGTTTTAGATTAATGCAATGTGCTTAATTTGTACAGTTAGTTTTCTTTGTTGTTAGTCGCTTGGAATCTTCTCAAGTTAACTGCTGATGTTGGCTTGTATGACTTTGTTATAGTAATCATGCATACGAACCAAGTCCATCGGGAGTGTAATATAAACCTGATTTCTTTAATTCACTTCCTTAGAAACATTGGCAGAGTTATTACTCAATTCTTTGTGGTGATTCTCAATTTTAATTTTCAGATTCATGAAGGTTGAATTTCTTAATTTCAGAACTCATCATGAACTCTAATTTTTGTGTTCTTGTGGCAGATATTTATTTTTGCATTGTCCGTTAATATCTCCTATTTCTCTGCTTTTAATTTCAGTCACTCTTCTTAGACACTTTTTCTTTTTGCTGCAATATCAAGTTTTCTTGTTGGAAATAATTCAGTCTTTCTTCATCAGTATCTTATTGGAGTTTATGACCTAAGGCTTTAGGTAGGAAAGTACCACATGGTTTTCATTTGTTTGTAAAATTTTGGCTGTTTCCTCCAGATATTGCAGTGTATCTTGTTGTATAAGCACTGTAGTGTGCTTTTGATTTGGAGAATTTTAGGTATAGAGTAGAACATATATATTTTGTAGGGAAAATATATATTATCCCTGTCTTGTCAAGCTTGGGGAATGAAGTACAGGTTTACTAATATCACCTCTTTTCTTGTGTGGTGCGCATGCAGAGGAGAGAAGGCATTTTGTAGCTCAGAGTGCCGTTTGAAACAAATCTCAATCGATGAACATAAAGAGAAGTGTGGTTCTGTAGCCATGAAATCACCCGAGTTCTCTGCCTCCCCTCGCTCTGGTACAATGCAGTTTTCTGGTGGTGTTGCTGTGGCATAATTAAGTTGGCGATACAGGTCTGGGAAGCTAACTCAATGCATAAGAAGATCTAAATATGTTCAATTTTGAGTAATGGAATGTTGTTCTGCCTACCAGAGGTTCTGAAGTTTTGTTAGAACCAATTAAGAGGGAGAAAGTTTTGTAGTTTGGTTAAACCCACCGAGTATAGACATCACAATTTTTATATCTAAAGACCACACACATATATTTAAATATATAAGTTTATACAATTGAAATCTTTTTACATTTTCAATTCCACTGAACTTGTTGAATGTCTCATATATAAGTGTTCTGCTAAACTTCTGCGGCAAAAGGTGACTATTCGTTGATTTCTTCCCTAGGATTCGTACCTATAGAGTAGCTTACCTTTTGTTGGTCAGTTCGCTTGGTGTTTTAAGCAACTGATAGTTGGTTAACAAGTGAAGCTGACACTCTTAGCCATATCCAGCCTGTTTAAACCAAGCAATGCTGGGAATCCGTGTGATTCATATGGTTCATAACTGCAACAACTAGGTCATTATGTACACCAACCTGCTTGTTTTTCTGTCTTGGAGGTCAATCAGGTTGGTGTACATAATGTACACGTTTGTAATGAGGAGAGTCATTTGTGCCAAACGCAAAATGTCTTTGTGATGGAAGTCCTGCTTATTACAGGTTCCCTCTTGTAGAAGGAACACCACTAGATCTACACCGTCTTTTTGTTTAGGTTACATCTCGAGGTGGAATAGAAAAGGCATTTACAAAAAAACATTTTACTTAGTGACATACATATCATCTTTCAGTATTTTAATTTTGGAGAGCGAATCTTCGGTATTAAACTACAATAAAATGCCTTTATCAAAATAGAGAATCAAAGAAACTACAGTAAAATGTAAGTATGTCCACACAAAACTATTTTTTTTTCCTTGTGATTACATTGGATGTCATATCCTTAAGATCGTAAATCATGTTAAAATACAATAATGGGCTTTAAATCCTTTGGTCTTATCCCCGTCAAATGCTAGTTCGAATGTTCTGTGAAGCTTTTCCTACTCTTTCTCTAGTTTCATTTGGAAATTTCAAGTTCAGAAGTAACTAACAATTGCTTGAAATTGTTACCAAGGTTAGAACAACCACCACATTTCCACTGTGTGTCCACTAACAACTTCCTATTTTCTATGAAACACCATCCATCATCGCAAATCCATACATACAAAATTCTACTTGGTGAAACCACAGTTAAAGCTCCTTCTTCAAACACCTCAAATCCCCAAACTCCACATGATTTTCACCATCTCAAACAAAGCTCTTTGGTAAGAACTTTAGATTCGGGCAACCTTTATCAACAACTTCAAACACAAAATCATTCGAAGAGATGTAGTGGTGGAGTAGATGTAGGGGGGCAATGGAGAAGAATAGAGGAAGGGCAGAGAAGAATAGAAGACGGGGACGAGAAAAGAGGACGAGGACCACAGAAGAATATGACGAGAAAGAGAAAGAGAGTGAGAATTGGCTAAGAATGGTGAATGTTGAGACTAAAATATTTATTTCGGGAAGTTGATAAAGATTAAGACTTAAGAGAGAGAGAGATGACTAAAAATGGTGAATATTGAAACTAGAATATTTATTTTGGAAAATTCATTAAGATTGAGGCTACTACATGTAGGGTGAAATTCCTAAATTTTAATATGCACATGAAATACCTTTTGTATCAAACACCATAAGCTGCTAAACTGAAGAGAAATAAATACATACGACTAAATATAAAGATTCAACTTTGTCCAAAAGTTTGACACAAATAACTTGTTGATTGAACAACATTAGTTTATTTTTTCAACATAACATTCCTAAATAATTGAAATAAAAGTACGATAACACGAAATGGATAGAAAAATGCAACAAATTCTGACACACACTATGAAAAAAGCAACATGAAAAAACAATAATAGAACAACATAATTATTATATTCTCAATCGAGATCCTTGGAATGTCCATTATCTCCAACATTGGTGTCATTGCCTTTTGTTGGTGCAGACTTTGTACCACTTCCATCCCCTAATGTAGCCATAGTCTCAATAAACCACGAGTCATTGAATAAATCTCCCATTGGACTTGCTGATAGGGTGACATTTTCGTTGTTGGATTGGGGATTTAGAGGTTGTTTCAGTTGTTCTTTTCTTTCATTTATTTTAGCCGTTTTAGCAGCACACACCTTTAACAAACCTTTTATCTGTCTTGCATCAAGTTCATTAATACTCTTTCCTTCCACTAGTTGGTTGAAGAGGAGTTCCATTTCCTTTTCCTCATTCATTTTCTCTAATTTGCTAATTTGTTTTTCTTTCTTTTCCGCTTTCCTTTGAAGATAGGTTTCATGTTTGACAAAATTTTTAATCCTTTCATTCGCTTCACAACTTAAATACCTTGTTAAGACATCCTGAGCCAGACTTGCAGATTTCCAAGCAATGGGTTGGATACTCCCTGGCCTAAAAATAATTATGGCGATTTCTATATCACACAGAATAGAAAGTTCTTCTGCTTTCTTAAACAAACTTGTTACTCTTCTATCTAAGATGGAGTTCCTTACGTCTTCACTATAGTTCCTAGTATCCCTAAGCCTTTTTGTAGCCATATTTGATACTCAAACATAAATAAACACTTTCTTTTGGAGTAGAATATATAACTTGAAGAGGCGTCTGGCTTTTATAAATGTCAAACAAGAATTGTTAATGTAGTCAAATTAAGAAATATCATAAATTGGGGTCCAAATTTTAAATAAATTGATTAGTGTAATCTGATTTTAAGAAAATTGTTTTACTTTTTTTCTTAAAAAGTTTAAAATTGCTAAAATTTTGACAGGTCATATTCCATAATTATTTTTGGAGACCGAAAGCGCAATACTTACATTGTGACATGAGCATATTTGGTAGAAAAGTATAATGGAAAATATATTTTACAAAAGATGTTAGTATATCTTTAAAATGTTAGAATTCACTTCCCATGTTGTTAGAGTTCATTTCCAAGGTTCACAAGATGTTAGTTTTCTAAGGATATACTAACATCTTTTGTAATACATATTTTCCATAAAACTTTTCTACCAAATATGCCCATGTGACAAGTTAAATATTGTGTTTCCGGTCTGCAAAAAATAATCATGGAATATGACCTGTCAAAATTTTAGCAATTTTCAACTTTTTAAGAAAAAAAGTAAAACAATTTCCTTTAAAAAGATTACACTAATCAATTTATTTAAAATTTGGACTCCAACTTATGATATTTCTTAATATGACTACATTAAAAATTCTAGTTTGGCATCTATAAATGTCACGATCCGACACTACCCCCTAGTCGTAACACGGTTCTTAGAATCACAAGCGACTCCAAGCTAACATGAGCAACTATTATGAACATGTAAAAAAAAATGAAAATAACTGAGCGAAAGCATTATTATGGAATACTGGTTCAATATATTTTTTGAAAAAGTTTTGTATACAACAACTGTAATATTTTTGGCCTATAACAACTCTTACATCATCTTGTATGATCTGTAACTCCGGCAAAGTCATTGTTAGCAACAAAGTAACAAGAGTGAACTCTTGTTACTCTATTCACATAAGGTAGATGAGGACTAAAGAACTATTTGGAGCATAAGTTACTTATATGTTTGTATGAATACTCAAAAAAAATCCAAATAACCTCAAGTTTTATTAGTTTAGCTTGATTTAAAAATTGAAAAATTCAACACAAATGATTTAGTTTAATCTTTGAAAAAATCAAACTAATCCGGTCATGTACACCCCTAGTGACATTTAGCAATGTCAATAACTTTAACAAATATAGTCAGAAAATTGGCCCATCTTTATGAGAAACTGATTAACTTGGTAAAGAAGCTCTTTTCATTCTTTGTAGATGTGAGTAATCATTTATAGAAAGTAAAAAGTATAGTCCTTTAAAATAATCATAAGTACAAAAAGAAAGTTATGATTTCATCTCATGCAATGACACTTTATTGTCACATCTCATGCTATAGCATATGTAAGCCCATAGGACATCTGCCAATTATTTACAACAGAAAAATATTACTTTGAATAAATGAAGAACTAGGGACTGAGACTACACAGCTTGATCAATCTACCAAGCACTGATCTACTTCACAGGTAGAGAGAATTTGCAAACATTATCCCTCGCCGAATACTGTCACTTGCTGCACCAAATTTGTTCTCTAAATCTACTTCTCCCACAGCATGTGCAGCAGCTTTCAACTGTAAATTACCAACACAAAAACATGTGGAGAAGCTGTTTCGTATAACGGAAAGGAAACTCATATTTTTAAAAACAGTATATTATCACAAAAGGAACTACAGGTATCATTGACGTACTTGTTTACCGCAGCAGCTCATTCAACAAATAAGTGTAACTAAAAGAATATTAAGTCTTATGGAAGTGCTCTCCTGATGCACCAAGTGGATACCAATGAACATTGATATTTATAAAGCAAGTGTTATCAAAGGCGAAAAGCGCAAAAAAGCTCTAAGGTCCGGGGTCTTTAAACGCAAAGCGCAAATAAAGTGTGGCTTTAATGAAAAGGGCGCAAAGGGAGAAAAAAATACAAATATATATGTTTAGTCCATGACTAATAATTATAAACATGAATGACAAATATATGACCAAAGAAATTGAAATTTTTTTATAATTAAGTGAAACATCAATTATTTAGTTTCACTTCTGCACAAGAGGCTCATTGGCAAGGAAACGTTGGCCTTAGAACCTTGATGACAACACTGAAGCGCACATAAAGCGAGGCAAAGCGCTCAACACGTTTTGAGCCTCGCTTCAGGGCTAAAGCGCGCCTTTGATAACACTGTATAAAGCTAGTCCATTTAATCTACATATTAATGAGTTGGATTATGGATAAAATATGGGCATCCATATATACCCAATAGCTGAGCCATTCATCACAACCTGACGATTATTGATGATTTCATCAGTTAAAATGGGATGGAGGGAATATTATTCAAAACAGGAGGAGGTACCTAACTATTGCTAATTGCTTAAAATTGAACAATGAGCTTGATTTTTCGGGTTATAATACTTCCTCCATCACAATTCAGATTTCAATCGTCAAACTTCTTAATCTATTTTATCGTAAATCAGGATATAGAATTCTTAAAAGTTTTAAAATAAAAGTCAAATATTTGTTAAGTACATAAAAAATACTACAAATCACAATAATCATTAGTTAAAAGCATTTAAAATGCATAAAAAAATATAATTAGAGAAAAGCTCGTTTGACTCTCAAATTCAAACACCAATACATAAATAGAGACAAAATTGAGGCTTGTAGTAAGAGTTTAAGTTGGGGATACCTAGTATATAGTGTAATTTCAATTTGTCATAATATCTTATCAACTTCATATAAAAAGTTCATACTGTAGTAGATCGAGTTAACCTATTACTTACGGTAAAAACTATTTATATTATGTAGATTGTTTTTATTTAAATGATCTGCTACTATAATAAGTATGAGTTGATAAATTAGAAAATATAACGGGGTTATTTGGGATGACCCCGCCTAGATTAGGTTTAGTGGAAAAAATTAAGGTAACAATCGATACTTATAATCTCAACAAAATGATATTCATGAATAATTAAATATATTATTTTTACTTGGACTATGCATGACCTATGTAGCTGTGATATTCAGAGACAAAAGCTACAGAACTGTTTACTTTTAGTAATAGTTTTCTTCTAAACACAGAAAGGAGTTAGAAAAAGTTGTTCTGAGAGGAACGCACTCTGAGCACTCAAAAGGGAATAAAGTAGGTTGAGATTATTTCACTCGATCCATATCTTAGCCAATCCAATTGTTATCCATATTTATATGGGTGGATTGAAATTCAAACCAATCCAATTCGCTCATTTAGCACCACTAACTGATACTTAATATCTCGAATTATTCATGAACACAACTGAAGTTCTAATGAATTTACCTGGTTTAAAAATTCATCAAGCCTTCTAGCCAGCCGTGTGATGCTACCTTCAAAGATGTCTGTCATTTGTATAACCTCCGCAAAAGATGCACCCTAAGCGAAAGCAATATGCAGATTAACAACTATTAGAGGAAGATGAAATCTCCAGTTGTTTCTTTTGTTAGTTTTTCATTGGGGAAGTGAAAGAACTCAGGTCAACTTTGGAGGACTCAACGTAAACCATTTTTGTTTCTATAAAAGGTATTTCAGGTAACTGGCACCCTCATTCATTTTAAACAAAGAAGGAACTCGAATGCAAAAAATGATGCCTTTGAAGATTGAACAGCTTAACATCTGTCACGTACTAAGACTGAAGGTTGCTTCCATGTATATGATAAACTAGCATGATTACCATTTCCTTCTGACTGGTTTTCCTCACCAACAGTATGAGACAACCTATTAGCTATTTGGGAGGGATGGATACTGACAATCACAGGAAAAAAGTATTTCCCTTATAGCAATTGAACATTCGCGAAAGTCTTCTAAGTAAAACATGATCCTGAACCTTGAGCAAAGAGATAAACAAAGCAAGAATACCACAAGGAGTAACAGCATAACCACATTCAACAATATCCCATGTTTACTCGAGATGCCCACTGGATATACTGGGTATGGTAACTATTCTGATGGCATAGCACTAGTCCCAGAAGTAATTGCAAGTAATATGGAGTTGAAAGGAAATGGTTGGGACGATCAACTTTTGTGGATCTATGGGTAGTCTTTTTGGTGTAAATGGTCCCCCCCCCCTCTTCCCCTCCAAAATGTTCTAAAGGGGTGCTTTACAACCTATCAGGAGAGGCCAACAACAAAGAAAGAGGGAGACCTTGAAAGGCAATAGTGCGGCAAGATGATGTCTTATTTATATCTAGTCTTCATTGAATGGAAGAGAATGCCAAACAGGCTTTACTCTCTAACCACCTAGAGAGTTTGACTTGCAGAATGATGTTAACACTTAACAGCATTCAACAAGACAAATCTAGGACACTCATGCTGGGAGGAACATGAATCATTGTGGGGAATAAACATGAAATACAACTAATTTACTCACCATTGACCAACAGTAAATAACATCCATTAAGAATGGTCGAACTGATGCCACCACATATTTATCAACATCTATTTCCAGCTTGCACTCATGTTGTATCTGAAAAGTCGTTGGTGTTATCCATGCTTCTGAAATGTAAATAAAGAAGGCCATATTCGTCTTTCAACTCACCTCTGCTATTCTTCTTGCACTATCTTGTAACTGTTGCAATGGTTTTTCAAGTTCATCTCTTAATTGTATTTTTTCCTCTGATCTATCACCTGGGATAAAGCAGCTTGTCAGAGCCGCAACTTGATGATGATTAAGATCATTGAATGTACCTGGTCACAAAATTTATTCACGATATCAGATATAACTACCCACTCTTTTTGCACCACCAAGGGAATTCCACAAGATTTTCCAAAGCCTGGTCATGTCCCACTGGAAATTAAACAACATTGAATGAGTCTGATTGCCCAAGGAGAAGCTACAGCAACCAGAGTATTCAAAAATTGAGTTAGCAAAAGTATGTAGGGATGACGATGATCTATACTATAAGGCTATAAAGAAATAAAAGAGAAGAATAAAACACAGTTTTTGTTTCGCATCAGCAGGTCTGTAAGTTTCAGTTCCAGAGCAACCAACCATAATTGTATACACATCTTCAATATGATCCAAGAGACTTGAGTAAAATTATTCATTTTTATCTTCAGAGTTCTATCAAGTTTAAGACCATGCAATACACCAGAACTGTATATAAATCTCTAAAATGCAATAACAACTCAGTTTAATTTGATCTAGTTTACATTTCAAGCTTCAAAGTTCAAAACAAAATAGCCTGTCTCTCATTTTTTAAATAAAAGCAATATGTTTCCACATAAACAAAGAAATTAGTGTTGCAGACAGTTTTCAAACAACAATTACATTACCATTAAACATCAATTCAGTCGCGAGAAGGTTGTCTCCAGTTTCTATCAAGCAGGCTGCCTGTCCCTTCAACCGCACAATACCATCAGCGTCAATGTGACCCAGCTTTTTGAGGACTTGGGAGCGGTTCCTAAGTTCATCCCAAAATTTTTGAAGCTGAAAATTTGCCAAATTTAGTTATAAGTAAATAAAATAGCAAAAATCCAGCACAAAGTGTTATAATTGTTAAATACTCCAAGGATCGGTTACTTGGAAATTGAAGACGTAGGAGAAGTCTCAAAACCAAATCTTAATAAGATGGATAAGCAAAACAGAAAAGCAATAATTATTAAATACACTAACCAAAGAAGAATGAATGTTAATGATTGTGTGCCATGAGATATATAATGATAGTATTTTAGATGAAAAGAACTTAAACCTAGCACATCTAAGAGATCAATGAAGAGAGAAAAACAAATAAGAGGAAAAAGAAAAAAATGTGTCAATAAGCAAGCAACATAGGAGATCTACCCGTGAATCACGCATTTTTGACTTGAGCTGTTGAATCTCAAGGTTCACTTCAGCCTTCCTCTGGAAACTCCTAAGCTGATGTTCATTTTGTGACTGGCCCACATGTGTGCAACAGCAAAATGGTAAAAGTAGTGACAATAAGTAAACCATCATCCATAGAGGAAAATGGCAAAAGCCTCTAGTTGAGCTCCTCACTGAATAAACAGATCATTCAAAACCAAACTTCTTGTCAAACCTTATGCAGTTGATAAGAAAAGAACTTCTTCTCAAGTTCTTCAATCTGGTTCACCATATTAACAACTTCAGGATCTTCAATGCCCATGTCCTACAAATTTTAAAATTAGGAAAAGCAACAAACCCTTGTGTCTTGTTTTGATAAAGTAATCAAATCATATTAGAAAAGCATCAAGAAGATGCAAGGTTACAAGAGAGCAAAAGAAGTTGCTTCAAACAAAACATGAAGCAAACTTAACTGTATAATGGCCAAAAAAATCCCCTGAATATTCCACTAAGCTAAAAACAGGGAGCTAACAAAATCCAAAAAGTTATCCACACTGTTTACAGGGAAAGAAAGTGCCAATTGAATAAACATTCCAAACATCTAGTCTTGAGGGTGATAATAGCAACAAACCTTTGTCTTGATCAGTCGCCCAAAGTTGAAGAATAAACATAGAGTAAAAAGATATACTAAACAGACTATTACTTCTGGTGAACCTAAACTTATGCGACAAGCAAAATGATATATAATACAGAATTTTGACCCATACAACAGAAGAACTGTTACTCAGCAACATATTATAGTCAAATTGTATGTTTTTGCTTTGCTTATAGTGTAGGATGGAACATGTAAGTGAGGCTGAAACAGTTCTACAAACATTAGAATCCTTACAAGATTAGACAGGGCACACTTTTGTTGTTTCTTCTTTGCTACATTGTGCAGTCCCAATAGCACATCCATTGTGCCGTTCTAATTTATAAAATTATTTTACCTTCTAAAAAGATATTCCTATTAGCTACCCTCATTTCCAGCTTTTGACCTGCAGTTTTTGCATACACATCACTAGCAATGTTCCTGACACATACTCTAGTCAGATAAATATTCCCCCAGGCAAGGAAAGAGAATATGGCCATTAAATATGGCAATCTGCTGCCAACGTTAGGCCTAAGGTTTCTGCTCGTCATGCTAACGGAAACAAGGTTTTGGCACTTAATTGACAACCATTGTTTATGATCAATGACCTGATACTTTTTAAAATGGCAAATTCCAAATTCAGAAGAAAAAAAAACAGTAAGTGAAAATAAATACCTTTACAGGGTTGAGCTTTGGGAGGCCTTCAGGGAACCGTTTTTCAAGCTCCTGTACTGCAAGAAAAATACTCTGCCTTGCTTCCAAAGGCCGAAGATCAGAAGGAACAGATATTCTAAGCTTGCTGAGAGAAGAAATTAAGGGTAACTGAACAGGAACCTACAAATTTTAATGGTGTCCCAGAAACAGCCATTTAGACTCAAAAATACAACTAATGCTCATAACCTAATTCACTTGTGTGCAATGAAATGAGTATTGGAAAATACAACACAGCAGTATAAGATACTCACCACATGCATTTCACACTTTTCCCCGGGACGAGGAGGGCATGGTTTTGGTCGAGAACCATTTTCACTGGAACCCAGAGAGCAATGAAGTAATGTATCCACAATATAGCCAGCAGCACATGAAGCAGAGAGGGTAGCAGGCAAAGAACCCAATGCTGCTGGAGGCTTCTTCACCACATTGACTACAACACCCCAACCCCAATCTTTTCCACCTTCTCGTACCTTAACCTGCCATTAACCATGCATATGCTCAGTGTATATGCAAAAAAATAAACATGAACCCTCTAATGGAGTTGTCGAAAAAAGGTATTAAGTGAGTGAATTTCCAGTCAACACAAGCAGCAAAACGAAAAAAATATACCACAGAAGTAACTTTAGCCTGGACAGTTACCAACTTACCATTCATGTGATACATCATCTGTACTATGTTGAACGCAAACTAGCAGTACTGACATTTCCTAAAGGAGATATGAACTCCTCTATCTATTTATGCAGTTTCTTTTCTCAGTATGAGTGTGACTCAGACATTATAAAATATACAGCATCTGGAAATTCAACTTTGATCCATCATTTAAAAGCTATAAACTTTTAACCTTACCTACACATAAGATGTTCTAAACTTCTACATTACCCTCCGAATGTCCCAAATCATGTTCTAACAGGTAAAAGGAGCTGCAATTAAACCTATTTATCAAACAACAGGTAAATGTGGGGGAAATAATCAAGAGAACTTGATTGATTAATAGCATACAAGAAGGTCTACTTATAGGAGTCTTGAGCTACGTAAATAAGTAGCCATACGCTATGCCTAACAAAGAATGTATTCTATAATTAGCATACAAGAAGGTCTACTTATAGGAGTCTTGAGCTACGTAAATAAGTAGCCATACGCTATGCCTAACAAAGAATGTATTCTATAATTAAATAGAGACTATTACAGAATATCCTGAAGGTATCGCATAAAATATTCTTTTTTATACAAGGTGAGATTTTATAGGGTATAATACTCTAGAATGTCTGTAATGTAGTAACAAAAGGCAATGCAAGGTTCTTTCAGCTCATTTCCCATTGGAGAAGAGTCGATCCATGCAGAAGGTTTAAGCTGCAAACAGTAAGCAGCATAATAACATATTTCATTTCAAATTTTATCAGGATATGGCAATAGAGAAAATGCCATGTACACTAACAAAGAGAGTGGAGGCACAGTAATGTCAAAAAATATATTTCGAGAGACTAAACAAAGTTCAACCCATGAATGAATTACCTGAAAAAGAAAAGGGAAGTCAACCAATCATAGATTGAGTCAAAAAGGGCTAAGTTACATGTCCTGGTTGAATCAGAACTGATAGAATAATAGAATATATGCCTACAACCACTTACCAGCCTACCAGGAAGAAGAAAATACAGAACCCTTTCAGGCCTTGTTATTTCAGCCATCAATTTTTTCTCAAATTGGGCCATCTCAAGCCTTAGTTTATGATATCCTGCAACCTCAGCCTACAAATTGAACAGATGCAATTTTAGGATCTACTGTATAAATAAATGTCATTGAATAAAATGGAAAATAAACAATATACCTCTCCTGAGGCATCAAGCAATGCACCTTCTTCTTCCAACTTGGAAACCTTCTTCCCGATGTCAGGTAAAGCCTAACAAAGAGACAATATCACTGTCAATCATTTAATATAGAGTAATGACATAGAAAAAGGTATTTTTCCAGGGTGAACCTTCTCATACTGAAACTGGTGAAATGAGTTTTTGATAACATGCTCGGCGGTAAATTGACCTTCAGTGCGGCTCAATAGATTCAAAATTGAGTAGTAACTCAACCTAAAGGAGCTGACCAACGGATCTGGGTTGCCCGAAACCATGTCCTTGAGGCTATCCATCTCCATCTGAAACAATACTGTATGTCAGTTATCACTACAGAGCTAACACCATCAGATAAGACTGTGCTAGGCATAGTTAGTTGAGTATGTCATATGCATAGGTGTACCAAGCAACACAAATTAACTGTAGCTGCAGTAAGTGAAAAGAAGAAACGAATTGACTCCCGCATTGACTCTTGCCTTGGATATCTATATCTGTTAAGCTTTACTAGAAGCAAGCAATCTACAATATCACAGTGTAGAGCAAATCAACAGAGTGATTTGACTTACAGAAGAAATTTAATGGCTGGGAGCTTGAAAGGTTGACTCAATTGCTGAGTTATATAGTTTCCAGCTTCAGACCTTAGTATAAAATACTCTGTACTTGATCGGGAAAAGGGTGGAATGTTTTTAGTAATATCAGCTTGTAGATTTGGTATGGAAAATGATTTGGAATTCTTCCCTTTTTTTCTTGATAATCAAAGTAAACCCTAAGAGCCAGTGGTGCATTGTTCGAAACTCAGTAGGTAATTGGCCACCTTTCTACCCTTCTCCACTTACATACCAAGTTTTTGTTTGTAACAGAATTCAAAACAACGATTAGTGCTGTGCATCATGCTTGTTGCTCTTACCACTAGATCAAAGCCCTTTTTTAATAAGTAAGAACCACTAGACCAAAGCCCTGGGGGCAAATGATTTAGAAGAGTCTCTTTTTCTTTAATTACCATATAGGACTTGTATGAAGGAACAGTCACTAGCGTGAAAGCACTAGTGACGAAATATGAGGAGTTTCCCATAACCATGGGTTTACACCAATATTCAGCATTCAGCTTGTATTTGTTTACCTTAATTATGATGAGCTAATCAACACAATACAAGATAAGTTATAATAGTGCATGCTATTTATCAATGATATTTAGGTAATTGATGAAACAAGTAATGTTGTCAACCAAAAGCTTGAACTATGAAGAAGCACTAAAAGAACAAGGGTTTTATGCACTGCAACTTTTGTCAACATAATAAAAGTGAAGTTGAGATGAAATTTGACGGGATTGTAGTGTCTAAATGTAAGCAATCTAGATATCTAGGCTCGTCTTTATGGGAGAATGGAACGATAGATTAAGATGTTACACATAGGATTAAAATTGTATGATTGAAATGGATAAGTGTTACGGGGATGTTATGCAATAGAAGGATGCCTACCAAAGTGAAAGGTACATTCTCTAGAACAAAATAAGATCAACAATGTTATATGAGACTGATTATTAGGCTGCTAAAGTCCAACACATGCACAAGATCAGTATCGTAGAGATGTGAATACTAAGATATGCAGTCATACAAGATTAAAAATGACTACATTTCCCAAAAAATGCAAGTAGCACACCAAGGATAAAATAAAAGGTCTTTTGAGATTGTTTGGTCATGTCCTACATCAACCACCGGATGTATCAATCTTTAGGTGTGACACCATGGTGAGCAAAGGTATTAAAAAAGGACAACATAGACCTAAAATCACATGGAAGAAAGTTATGACGTGAACAAATTAGCTGGGATATACATGTTAATATGTTTACGTTTAAGTCTTATGCTTTCTTTTTTAAAAAAATTGAGTCTTTTAATCCTATCAGAGATTTCTATAGGGGTATAAAATATATGAGAACTTCTAGTACTTTTTTTTATTATTTTGTATAATTTAGTCCTGAGATGAATTCAATAGAGAAACATGGTCAATGAGTATACATATAGCCGACCCTAGTATGTTGCAACTTGCAACTTGCAACTGAGGCTTATTTGTTATTGTTTAACAAGGATGATTTGGAAATCTTGAAAAAACTAAAGTGGCTTGTTTCATCTGGTAAGTCTCCAATGAAATTGCATTGACATGAAGCAACCTGCAGAGCAGAGGTGGAAAGTATGCAACAGATGTTATATTGGAGAAAGGGAGAAGGAAGACATAGACACTTATTTACCCCTTGTACAGAGACTTCATCACTATTGAATCTGCTTTTCAGTATTTTTGGTAGGACAAATGCCAAAAACTACCAGAGAGCTGTTATAGTGTTGGATAAGGAAAGGTCTGAGCCCTACTATCAAGAAAATCTGGGATACAATTCTTGTGTGTATCTGATGGAAAATCTGGCTAGGAAGGAATAAGAGAGGTCTTGAAAGAAAAAGAAAAGCCATTCTTTACTGAATTCAAGATGCATTGTTATGTTTGCTTCCTGGTGTAGATTGGTCAAAGTGCATGATGTGGATAAGATATTCAATATTTCCCAGAAAGGTAACATGTGTATTCATCAGCAGCATGTTGGTACAGCTATCCAGTGGATAATATGTTCAATTTCACTCGGTTAGTTATGTTGTACTCCCTTCGTTTCATTTATGTCTCTTAGTATGACTAGGCACAAAGTTTAAAAGAATAAGGGAGACATGTGAATATTGTGGTCTTATACTAAAAATGTGTATAATGAACCAAAAACCTTTTGAATCTTGTGATCTTAAACATATCATGTGGGAAGTTGGATTAAAGAGTTGCTAAATCTGGAAAGTGGCATTCTTTTCTAAACAAACTAAAAAGGAAAGTAAGACACAGAGAACACTGACTTTAATTTAAGCTGAATTATATGGAAACATGAAGTGAGATCAAGGTTTCAGTATAGTGGACTCCAGATCCCACAGAAAACTTCATGAACATTGCTATCATTGCAAAGTTTTAACAGGCAGAAACCTTGCCGGCATGATTCCCCAAACCTCACTTGTGGGATACACTGGGCATGTTTAAATAAAAACACACTCTTGACAATGCCTAGAACTCTGCAGAAGTTATGGCAAGCTGGAGAATGAGAAAGGATGGATGCCAGGAGGAAAGAAGCATAGAAAACTGTATCTCACCCTTTTCAATTGATTTGGAGAGAAAGAAATAGTAGAATTTTGAAGGAATTGGAAGTCCACTGTGAAGCTAAAGTCAAAAGCTCCTTGTAGTTCCTTTTGTATTTTTGGTGTAAAAAGGGATATTTTGTTGTAACTATCAGAAAACGGATAATCTTTTGGTTGTATAGATAGTTGAATTCTGTAGAAGTGAGATGTCAAACCTCAGTTTGTAAAGTGACAATGACCATCTTGGTGTGAAATCAAATAAAGTATTTTGATTTATCAAAAATAGTAGAACAAAAGAAGCATACATTTTAAGAAGGCAGTAGCAGGTAGTACAAAGGATGCTTGTTAAGCAGATAATACTACTATTAACTCACCTTCTCATCAATCATGATAATGCAAATACCACGCTCATCTTTGCCACGACGTCCTGCTCTTCCACTCATCTGCATGAAAGAGAGACAAATTATATCAAAATCTGAAGACTAAATAATGCTAATGTTATGTTATATTTAAACTCACACTCACCTGTATATACTCACCAGATCCAATGTAACGATGAGCATCACCATCCCATTTTTTTACACTGGTAAAAACTACTGTTTTTGCAGGCATGTTTAGTCCCATGGCAAACTGTTAAAAAAAATATTTGGAGGGAAGACAAAAGGGGAAAGATTATCAACGACTTGTAATGATACATTCAACAAAAAGCTAATAAGATATGCAAAGTCACGGGCTTACCGTCTCCGTGGCAAAAAGGGCCTTTATTAGTCCTTCTTGGAAAAGAAGTTCCACAAGTTCTTTGACAACAGGAAGCAAACCAGAGTGATGAACAGCAATCCCTCGCTGAAGCAGTGGCAACATTAATTCAATTGCTGGCAAGTTCCTATCTTCCTCGTTCAAGCACGCCACTGCACTATGGAATACCTGCTCCACAGCTTCTTTTTCCTCTTCAGTATTAAAATCAAGTTTGGTCATACACATTGCATGTTTTTCACAATCTATTCTACTAAAACTGAATATAATGACAGGCTGAAACTTCCGTGCCATGATCATCTGAAACAATGAGAAGTAACCACTTAACTGATATGAAAGACAAGTATCACTCCATTTTAGCTAATCATTGGATAATACCTTGACAATTTTGTAGATGTCAGACACACCAGAAGCATTGCCACCTTCTCCACTTCTTCCACTAGCCTTTGCGCTGGAGCTCCCTGGCTTCTTGTTGGTGAAAGTTTCCCGTAATTTCAAGAAATTGTCTTCCCTAAATTGGTCATTGTCATCAACAACGAGATACAATCCAGAACCACCCTTAGGGAACGCATAATGCTGCAAAGGGGTGGGTCGAAAATCAGTATAAACCACATGACAAGGCTGCTTATGAATATTACAAATCCATTCAGCAAACTCCATAGGATTTGACATTGTTGCTGAAAGAAAAACCATCTTAATAGCTGGTGGCAAGAATATAATACTCTCTTCCCAAACAACCCCTCTCTCTCGATGTTTCATGTAATGTATTTCATCAAATATAACCCAAGCAACCTCTTTCAATACCTCAGAACCCACATAAAGCATAGTTCTCAGAACTTCAGTCGTCATCACCAAACAACTCGCATTTGGTGAAATTGAAACATCTCCAGTCAATAAACCCACATCAGAAAACTCCTCACTCAACTCCCTGTATTTCTGATTACTCAAAGCTTTCAAAGGTGAAGTATAGATTACCCTTTGCTTATCCCTAAAAGACATAGCAATTGCATACTCTGCAACTGCAGTTTTACCAGCAGAAGTATGTGCAGATACAAGAACTGATTCCTTTCGCTCCAAACACGCTACTGAGATTTCCTGAAAAGGGTCAAGCTTAAATGGATAGATTTTCGCCATTTTACCATTATAAACAGGATTTGAAAGGGTTCCATGAAGTGATTCATCGTTGCTTGAAGCGAAACAACTGGGAATTGCTACCTCGTGCAAGCAAGTTCTTGACCTTTTCGAAGTAGATTCTGCTTCATTCTCCTCCTCTAATCTCCGTTTCAATGTCGGAGACTCCACCATTTTCAACTCTGAAACCCTCCACAAGCAGCCCTTCTTCCTCAAAAGAAGTAAAAACACACAGTGATTTAGCAAATTGAGTCTCCCGAATATCAATTCGCATAGCCACAAAGAGTTGGGATCTCTACTCTGGCCATGAATTTCATTTTTTTTTTTCTTTGCTGCTGTATGTATAGAAGGGAAGAAAACTCAAGTTCTTTTCTATTGTAATTGAGATTTTTGTTTACCCTGTTATTTTATTTTGTAAAATTTGAAATTTAGGTAAGTGCATTTTAAACCTATGTATAAAAAGAATATCTTCTATTTAATTTTAAGTGAAATTGTATCGTATGTTAATTAAAAAGATTAGCCAATTACTGTAATCTATAAATTTTCTATTTGTATCCAATTCCAACGAGAATAGAAGCAAGTTATTTTCGACGGGGAGAAAGGACAAATTATGATTCTATGAAATACTTAGCACATTTAGGATATAACTTTATTGTTGCAAAATTTAGATATAGTGTCATGCTCCAAAATCAGGAAGGCGTGACTAACACATGGCGACTTACTTAAACAAGCGAGCTACTACTGAAACTAAACTAGATAACATAAATGGTCGTTAAGACCAAGCAAAATCAAGAGAAACACAACAGAGAAATTCGAAATATAAGGAAAATACAATGCAAAGCTGCTCAAACCATTATTTGGAAACTACAACTAACCACAAGGCCAATATGACCACAACCGACTTACAAGATCCACAACTGACGTCTACAATCCTCTAAAATGAAGAACCGCTAACACCTAATCAGGATAGGATCTCGACATATTCTTCAGCTACACCAAGCAAAAGAAGACTCTAGACTCAGCAACTCAATAAAGAATGAGATGTATGAATCATCAATTGAACTCTACCACATGCACGAGGATTAATCCTATCTATTATTTGAGTTACTTTACCATAAATATGATAGTATATTATTTGAGTTATTTTACCACAAATTAAAACAAAAGGCTTCTCTATATTGGTACGACCGGTTAAAAGGTTTGTATTATTGGATGACCTAAATCAACAAAGAACTCAAGATATAAAATATGTGGATGCACGTTAAAGTTAGGATGAGCAAGCTCTTTTTCAAAATGCATTGTAGGTGGCTCTTGACTAACATGATCTCTTCAAATAGAAAGAACATCAAATTCATGTGGCATAAAATCATCACTCGACTATAGTACTTATCTAGCGAATACAGGCTCAAGTTTGTCAGTACTTGATTGGTATATATGCATGTTAAACTCTCCACATGTAAATTCAGTTTGCAAGTAAACATCAAACCCACAAAAGGTGAATGATACTTCACAAATATTTAATTGTATCTAATGTGAAAATTTGTGATGTCAGAGGTGGTTAGTTGTGGTGGCTGGTGATTGTGGATAGACTAATGGTAAATATTGTCTACACAAGAATACCTCTTAATGATATTACGACTCTGTTCTAAATCGTAATGATTAAGACCTATTTAGATATATAGATAACTATTTTATTTGGGACCAATTTTAAAGCGTTAGTCCAACTCATAGTGAGTAAATTGACCTTTTGAAAAAGGGAAAATACATTTAAAAAAAAACCCTTAAGCTTGGCAGGAAAACTTACTTTAGTACTTTAACTATACAGATGTTTATTTACCCCCCTAATCTCATTTAAAGTGAATAAATATCCCCCTTAATGTTGACGGCATAAAGAAAATAGTCAAGCGCATCTTTCTTTTTGATTAAAAAATTGGTCCCACTAATATATGTATTATATAATTAAAAAAGAAAAAAAATCACCCACCCGGCCACCCTTACTTTCATCTTCTCCAAACCCACCCACCCCCAATCCCCTTTTTCTTCTTCTGCAAAACCCCCCAGCCCTTTTCACTTATTCTGAACCCCTTATCTCGCCCCCTTTCTCCCTCTTTGAACACCCCCATTGTACCCTACCTCACCTGCATCTTAATCTTCATCTCTTTTTCTTTTTTTTTCCAGATCTACTAAAGAGAGAAAATCCATTAAACTTTGTTCCGATCAAACTTGAGATTTCTGTCAAACAAAAGAAAATTTCATTAACACATATTTCAAAAATTATGATTGTTGTATGTCATGAAAAAATAAGGGTTTTTGAAGATGGAATATTGGAAAGGATTGATTTTTTTTACTAAAGGGGCGAATTCATCTACATTTTCAGTTGATTTATTTGTCCTCAAATACCAAAGAGAGCAATAAATCGGTAAAAAATTCAATGTAGGTCCATATTTGTTGCAATCTCACATCAATGGATATTGATAGAAAATGTATGAGAATTTTCTCAAAAGAAATTGGTGAAATTGTTAGAAGATAGTGAGGTTGAAAATAGAGAAGTCATTAGTGAAAATTAATGATAATCAAGCAAGAACTAAGAAAACACTAATGGAGGTGGAATGTAGTGCATCCATTGGAGAGAGAAGGGAAAAAAAATTAAATTTTAAAAATTGATTTCTGACATGGGAGAGAGAAGAAGAAGGGAAGGAAAAAAAACAAATTTTTAAAACTGATTTCCAACACGGTTCTGACGTGGCAATGATGTGGCGTTGATATGGCAATGACTTGGTGCGTGTGTAATATACTTGCCATTGTGAGATTGGTTTTGTATTCTCAGGGTGGTATTTATTCACTTTAAATGAGATTAGGGGTATATAAACACCCGTGTAGTTGAAGTACTAAAGTAAGTTTTCGTGCCAAGTTCAAGGGGGTTTTTATGTATTTTCCCTTTGAAAAATGTTGTATAAGAGTGATTGATATGGTGTCAAACATTTTGGATATTTCAAGTAGAAAAAAATGTAGGTACAATTTTTTTTTAAAAAAGGAACATAGAGGTAGAGAGCTTAAATTTATTCCCTTTCCATAAACATATGCAATGATACAAAAGGTACTTACATTACATTTAACAATCAACATTCAACACAATGTAGTAGGAAGAAATTAAATCGAACCAAAAGAATACAAAAGCTCACACAAATGTTAACATACAATAAATCAACTAAGCCACACCCCATGGGAGCGATAAACCTGTTGGAATTTATTAACTCAGTTGATGAAATGACAGTTCTTCCTGATCTCACCCTTGTTACCGGTAAGGATTTCAATTGAACCCATATGAACCATTGCATTAGCAAACTTACGTGTCCAAGTCGATCGAAACTTAACGTTATTCAACACCAACTTAGAAGTTAAAGGACTTTCATACAACGTCTGATCAGAAGTCAATAGTCCCTTATGGTTCCTCAAATTGAGATAATACTTGTTGTCAAGGTGAATAGGTGATGAAACATCAAGATTTACAATAGGATCATCTTGAGTATCACTCATTGGTCTAGGACACTTGTTTTTCAAAAAAGAAGCATATCTAGGATCAAGTGAAGGATCTTGAGGATGTGTAGTATTGAAACCATAAAGCCTATTAGAGAAAGAAGAACAATGAGAGACACCAATTGAATGAGCTCCTGATAAAGTCACCATTTCATCAAGTGACAATCCTTTTGCTTTGAAGTTGTCTTCGAGTTGCTTGGCATCGAAAAAAGGTGGAGGGAGGTTTTGAATGACTTCAGAACTCAATGAAACACGTCCATCACGACGTCCTCCTGGTACATCATACTTTATACCACCTACAAAAAACGCGCTATCTCTAGCAGCATAAGCAAGTATGTCTGCACATGAAACTGTGTGTGGACATACTTTTTCAAGCAATGCCTTGGCTTCATCAATAACCCCAAAACCTCGAAGGCTCGGGTTGTTAATGGGACTATCTTTCTCAGCTGTTTCCTTTCCAGGAACTGAATCCAGCAACACTGAACCATCACAACCCTATAAACAAGAAAATAACAAACACAAATGTAAGTTAGCATTCAACAAATAAATCAAAAACATTGCATCAAAAATTACCTTTAGTGACATTTAGCACTCTTTGTAAATGTCTCTAAAGCCTGTAGTGACACTGGATCCAATGACAATTAACTAATGTCGGTAAAGATTTTATCACTCTTTGTTAATGTGTACATTTCTTACTGCTAAAAGTTGTTTTTGTTATAGTGAAATTGTCAGAATTTCACTACATTTTATGTTATCACTAACATGACAAAAAAAAAAAAACTCCTAGAAAACATAGGACCTAAAGTAAATACATTAACATGATTATTCTTTAACAGTAGCAACATAGGCAGGATTTTCACTACGTATGTTCAAAATTTGAATAAGTAAACACATACAGAAAAAATCAAAAAGGGTTCAACATCTACTATGTAAAAGTGTTACCCTGATAAAGCAACCATGGAAATGCATATGAATAATGCCAACAGTTTTCTAGTCATAGATGTACTAGAATTTCACCATATATTATGTATTTCCCTAACATGACCAAACAAACTCGTAGAAAACATAGAATAGGACCTAAAGTAAATACATTAACATGATTATTCTTAACAGTACGTAGCAGAGTCAGGATTTTCGCTAAGTATGCAACATACAAAGAAGTCAAAGGGGTTCAACATCTACTATATATACATAAAACATAATTTTAATTGTGTGTAAAAAGCGTTACATACCCTGATAAAGCAATCATGGAAATGCATACGAATAATGCCAGCAGCAAAGCCAGGATTCATAAGAACAGCTTTGAATACAGCTTTTCTTATAATGCCTTCAGCTTGTGGACATGATTTTGAATAGAAGCCAATACCAAACGTCGATTTTTTTGGTGGCAATGACGGATATCCAGACTTTTTTGGTGGTGGTGGTGGAGACGTATAATCGTAACTATACTTGTAAGAAGCATTAGTAAATACAGAAAAACAAAGAATCAAACAAGAAAGTAGCGCCAATGAATTCATTTTGTTACTCTTAGTTAATTCTTGTACATACAAAATTGTTAGTTACAATTCGATTTTTATAGGCAAATTATCATATAACCGCGTAGTTAATTAATTAATTAGTTATACAAGGTCAAAGACATAAAAAAGAATAATATCGTATCTTTTATGTAATGTTCTGACTTTGAATTATTCTG